TGGATCCAATCCCTGGTCAGAGCATATATGGGAGGGGACCGGTCAATGTTTCTTCCTCACATTGATGTTTCTCTCACTTCCTTCCTCTGTCTCTAAAATCAATAAAAATAAATAAATATGCTTAAATCTGAGTTCACAATGATACACATAACATAAACTTAAAAAAAGAAAATATTCTTGAGGTGGTTATCAGATACACCATTTTTACAGATAGATAACTCATAATGCATATATCCTTGATGATATTTATTACTTTGGCACAAATGATAAGCTTCTCCTACACACTAGTTTATGAGTCAATATGACAATCTGAATATTCTCGAGTATTTTCAGACTAAATTGAAGCAAGTGCTGATGTCAGGATATAATCCCATCATGTAATTGTGGCTAAAATAAATACAGGAAACAGGGAAGAGATGGGACCATGTAGGCATTTCTGGCTGAACCGAGAGCCCTCTCGGATGTGTGTGTGGGAACAGACATTTCATCTGATCACAGGATGAAACCAGGGCAGTGGGGAGCTGCTGTGTTTCCAGGCAGTAATGCCTATTTGAAAGACTTCCTTTTGTGTAAGAACGAGGGCCACAGCTCTCTGCAGACCAGCCGGTAATTAGCAAGACGTCTCTGCTTCTTTGGTATTCTCATTGTTTCCCAATTACAATATTTTTGGGAACAGCATCATACAACTAATCTCGATTTAGTTTTCTGTTATTTCAGAGGAATCTAAGATTCAGAAGGGGGAAGTTTGTGGGCTCTCGCACCTCCAGCCCCCACCTTTCCTTTATAGATGTGGGAATGGGGGAACACAGAAGCGAAGGGATTTGCCCAAGATGAAACAGAACATCTGGGACAGGACTTGGGCTCCCCAACTCTCTATTAGGCCCCAGAGGTGTTACCATGCTGTGCTCAGCTGTCTGGACCCTACACTTGGGTGTCCCAAGCTGGGACAGAGTAAGTTTGCGTATGAACCTGAAAGGATATGTTTGTTTTTTAAAATATATTTTTATTGATTTTTTACAGAGAGGAAAGGAGAGGGATAGAGAGCTAGAAACATCGATGAGAGAGAAACATTGACCAGCTGCCTCCTACTCGTCTCCTATTGGGGATGTGCCCACAACCAATGTACATGCCCTTGACTGGAATTGAACCCAGGACCCTTCAGTCTACAGGCTGACGCTCTATCCACTGAGCCAAACCAGTTTTGGCAGGGATGTGTTTGTTATACAGACACAATAAAGTTGCTCTTTACATGACTCTCAGTCATTTACCTCCCTGATTACCACAGTCCTGAGCTTGCTTTTGCAGCAGTTGCCAATCCAAGCAGACTTTATGTAAGAAAAAGAATCCCTTGGCAATAGATTTGTATGGCGTTTTGGCAAACAGCTGATGTTCCCAGCCACTGGCCATGAGAATCTATGGTTGCCACCTGTTCCCAGCTCTGAGTTCAGTGATGTCATGTTAGTAGCTTGAAATCTGCCACAATGGGAAGATTCCACCACAGATATTGGCCAACACTACAAATTGGCAAACACTATAATCAGGGCATTTCCCCTCATTCCCCAATTAATGGGCTTTAAATATTTAAAGGATGAAAATAATCGGAAAGTATTATTATGAAAACTAACATAGAATCTATTAGATAAGAGATGTCTTCTATCTTTTTGCCCCCCTCCCCAGGAATATTTACATTGTGATCTCAGACTATGTAAAGAAAAGAGGGAAACTTGGGGTCCTGCCAAAGAAATGGGCTTTTTTTTTCTTTTCTTTTTTTAATTGCTAGGAACAAAGCTATATTATGATAATTCCTCTTTACTTGTTTTCTAATTAAACTAATTGAATTCAGAGTGTGTAGGGGAAGCACAAGAGACGTTTATCTTGAGGGGATGATGGTCTCAAAGCCAGTCAATCCTCTTAAGAGTGCAAGAGGACAAATCCAGGGATGCCCACTTTGTAGCAGCCATCACCCCACCCCCACTGAGAGTTTGGCCATCTTCAGGATTCTTCTCTCCTATTTTTTTTTTTTTTGAAAAAAAGAAATTAGGGAGCCCATTCTCCTATTTTCATAGCACCTTATGTTAGTCATTATTACAATGCTTTATTTCCCATACCACTCAAATTCAATATACCTCTTTGGCTCTATTTCTGGAATATTTCTCATATCTGGATACTCCTCTGCACCTCCGCCACATTGCAGGCCATCGTCCTATGTTGCTTGGACGGATTACTGAATTAGCCTTCTAACTGGTCTCCTTTCTGATACTCTTAGCTCCCTACTCTCCACTCCACTCAGCAGCCAGATAATCTTGCAAAAATATAAATCAAATGATGCCACTCCCTGCATAAAACCCTTCACAGGCTTACTATTTTTTACACTTAGGATAAGATCCAAATCCGTGCATTTCTCTAGAACTCTTCCCCCTTCCCCATTTCTCAAATAGCCTCATTGAGCACTCTGGCCACTCTCCTATCTGCCCCAACTTGCTCTCCAGCTACTGCCACCTGGGCTTTTTTTCTCTTTTTGAAACCCTCCAGGCCCCTCCCGGCTTCCCGACCTTTGCGCAGACTGTTCGCACTCCCTGAAATGCCTGACCCCAAATATATACATGATCTTTCTTGTAATTTTATTTTTCTCATAGCACCTTCCATTCTCCACAACTAATTTATTATTATTGATTTACTTGTTGGTTACCCATCTACCCTCACTAGAATTTAAGCTGCATGAGGTTAGAACTTTTCTATTGGCATCCAGAATATATGTTGTGCAGAGTGGTGGTTGATTGAATGATTAACTGCAAGAACCTCTATTTTACAGATGAGGAGGCAGGTTAAGTAACTTGTCTAATTTCACACTGCTGTTAATTAACACGAGGATACATTTTTATTTTTATTTACATTCCTATAGTCAGTCATCAAGATTAATTCTTTCTCAGGTGTTGGGAAAATGTCAAACTGTTTTTGCTTTCCTTCCCAAATAGTCCACAGAAATCATTTGATCGTTTTCAAAAGCCAGTTGTGTCTGTTCAGGTCTTGTTAGCTTCAGCGCCGGCCTGGGTCTCCTCCACCTCCTTTGATGTGCATTTTCCTGGAATGAGGAGGCCAGCGCACTCAGCTCCCACCTCTCCTCTGAACGGGAAGCAGCATTGTAGGGAGTGCTGTTCTCCTCCCAAAGTGGCTCCTGTAACTCTACTGCAGGCTAATAGCTTTAGTTTACTTTTACAGTTGACAGCAGTTTGATAGACATTTGTTTGTCAATTTTTAATGTACTTTCTCCTTTGACCCCTTAATCCCCCAAAATGCTGATCTTATATGACCTGACCCAACTAATTAGCCTCATTTACCCTCCAGATGCTTTCAATAAGGCTCTCAGGATGCTCCCATGAAGGGTCTTCATTCAAATGTCAGGAGCTTACCACACTCACTGAGGGGTTAGCATCCTAAGTTAAAGGAAGAGCTTTAAAGAAACACAACTTGGAAATGTTTAAAGGTTTTCTGAAATGACATAAGAGAATGAGCAAGCATCACTTGGTACATTTATGCTATCATTCTACAGCTCCAGGAATTAGACATCATTGAAGAATGATGCTGTTAGTTTACAGACAAAGTTATAACAACATAGTATAGTGTCCCAAGGATAGCAGCACTTTAGGGCAAAGAAGCTAAACTTGGGTACATGTGGATTTGTTGTACTTATATTTCTAGTTTTGGTAAGGTTTGGACTTTTTCCATAGTAAACTTTTTTTTTCCAAACATATTATAAGATTTCTGAATGTAAATTTAATTTGTACAATACCTAATTTTATAACATTCTTCAAGCATAATTTTCCCCACTATATTTTCCCCATTCAATCTTGTCTGACACAATTGGATAGACAGAAAGTGCAAGGACCCTTTTTTCTTGCATCTGCACGGGAACCTTAGCAGCAACTCCAAGTATAATTTTTGTAGTTCTCCAAATTGCTCATTCTTAAAAAAAAAAAAAAAAACCCAAAACCATATATCTATATCTATCTATCTATATATATATATATATATAATTTATATCTAGTGTGAATCAATGGGTTGGAGTGTCATCCCATGCACAGAAAGGTCTCAGGTTTGATTCCTGATTAGAGCACATACCCAGGTTGCAAGTTTGATCCCTCGTTGGGGTTTGTACAGAAGGCAACCGATCCATGTTTCTCTCTCATATTGATGTTTCCCTCTCTCCCTTTTTCTCTAAAATCAATAAAAATAGCCGAAACCGGTTTGGCTTAATGGATAGAGCGTTGGCTTGGGGACTGAAAGGTCCCGGGTTCAATTCCGGTCAAGGGCATGTACCTTGGTTGCGGGCATATCCCCAGTAGGGGTGTGCAAGAGGCAGCTGATCAATGACTCTCTCTCATCGATGTTTCTAAGTCTCTATCTCTCTCCCTTCCTCTCTGTACAAAATCAATAAAATATATTTAAAAAAAAATAAAATCAATAAAAATATATCCTCAGGTGAGGACTATATATATATATATATATATATATATATATATATATATATATATAATTTATTTATTGTGAAGGATAGCACACATAGAGAAAAGTGATTAAAACATAAATTACAGTGAGTTATTACAAAGTGAATATAGAGGCAAGGTCAGCTTCATGGGTGTTGCAACACCTTTAGAAGGATCCTGTCCTTAGTTTAATGCTATACTGTAAATATTAAAATTCATAATTGTTCTTCAACAACCTTTCCCTTGGCATCTGGAAGCACATCTGGCTCCAACTCAGCATCCCTTTGAAAGGAGGTTACACTGACTGCAGAGACAGCCATGACCTTTTCATTTTGTACTAGGCCCCACAAGTGAATAAATAAAACTCTGCCAACAACTCAGAGAAGCTCCCGGTATTCCCCTCACTATTGAGGTAAGAACATTTTCGAATTACCATTGTGATATCTTTTGACTTGGGGTTACTTCAGAAGTTTGAATATTTCTAATTTTATTTTTATTGAAATTTTTCTATTTTTCAATTACAGTTTTACATTTAATATTATTTGTATCCAAGCTGCTATTTCTAATGTAGACAAAAACCTAAGGATGATTCAGCATTTCACAAAATTTCACTAAAAAAGTTGAAAGCAAGGACTAGAATATTTGTTTGCTCATGTTCATAGTACTTTTATTCACAATCATCAATTGTTAAAGCAACCCAAGTTCCTTGGATGGGATGAATGGATAAACCAAATGTGGCATATACTAGTATATCCAATGAAATGTTATTCAACCTTAAAAAGAAAAGAACTTACGATACATGCTACAAAAGATATGAACCCTGAGGACATTGTGCTAAGTGAAATAAGCCAGTCAGGAAGGATGAATATTGTATGATCCACTCATGAGGTTCCTAGGATGCTCTACAAGTCTAAGGGCTAATGAAGTCTGTTCTCTGCCTTCATACCTCATCTTTTATCACATCCCCACTACTGCCCCTTGGCTTCCAACTGTCCAAGTGCCACACTTGATAAAAAACATAACAATGTTAAGGAGCCTGGGAGCAGGGGGTGGTGTGGTCTTTCTCTGTTGGTGTTTGCAGCCTGGGCTCCTGGTGGCACCCTGACCTTCCACATCTTTCTCTGAAGGGCTCTGCAGTCATGCTAATGATTGGACTAATTGAGACTTTGAGGAAGGAAATCAAAGAGAAAATTCCATTTGCTTTTATTTCTTTCTGGCTGTCCTGAAGATTTTTAAGCAGATATGTGTTCTGTGTCATTCTCAGCTGAAATTCCATGTTAGCCACATTTATAGCTAAAAGGAAAGTATCATTTTCTGCTGCCAGGTGCTAAATAAATATTCTATCAGGAACAATTAGAACATTAAGTTGTTGTCTACGTGTCTGTAGAGAGTTTTGCCATCATGGGTTTTCTATCCCTGCTCACTGCATTGAATAAGTGCTGCTCAAGACTTCCATAGGAGAGGGGTCACCTAGCCTTGACCGGGTCCCCTCCTCCAGCCCCACCCGCCCCTCACATCATAGAACACTTCTGCTCTGCCGTTTGCTTGATTTCTGTGATCGTGGCCTGGGCTTTTTCTTTTATGGTGTCCAAGTCCATATTCTGAAGATTCTGTAACTGCCCCAGAATAGAATCCTTATCTTCTTCCTCCTCGTGATCTTCATCTACCATTTTCCGGAGGTCTTCAGGCAAATCCACATCATCTCCAGCCATCTGGATTTGGTTCTCATCCATTTCACTCTATGTGGAAAAACAAATGCAGAGACAGAGAGACCACTCTAAAACAAGCAAACAAATGAATAAACATTAAAAGGAGCAGGAAAACAAAGGTCTGTTGAGGAATGAAGGGAATGGCATGCCTGGCTGTCTCTCACCAGAGCCTGGGCCTGGTAGCTGTCATGGAGGCTGGGGGTCCTGGTTGAGACACCCCCCTTTCAGTGCACTTGGGTGGATCAGAACCTCTAGCACAGTGATTCCCTGGACCCAGCAGCCTCATTATCATGTAAAAACATGTTAGAAAGATAAATTTCCGGGCTTCACCCCAGACTAGTGAATCAGATACTCCCAGTGGGGCCCAGCATCTCTGTTTTTTTTTTTTTTTTAAAGTATATTTTATTGATTTTTTACAGAGAGGAAGGGAGAGGGATAGAGAGTTAGAAACATGGATGAGAGAGAAACATCTATCAGCTGCCTCATGCACACTCCCTACTGGGGATGTGCCCGCAACCAAGGTATATGCCCTTGACCGGAATCGAACCAGGGACCCTTCAGTCCACAGGCCGACCCTCTATCCATTGAGCCAAACCGGTTAGGGCAGCAATCTGTGTTTTAAGAAGTCCTCTCTGTTGTGCTGATGATGCAAAGCTTGAGAATCAGGCACCATCAGGGCTACGGGCTTCGGGCTTTGGCAGCTAACAGCCTCAGGCTGTGACTCAGTGGCCCTGGCTGTTATGATTCTGGAGGGTGGGGTTTGGGTGTGAAGTGGCCTGACAGTGCTCCCCCATTTTAGTCATCACTCTTGACTGGCAACTTCTACTTAACTATTACCCCTTCCGTCCCTTCTACTAGATGGGGGCTCCTCCTGGGTGCAGAATCTTGTCAACTTCAGCCTTCCATTCTTGGCACCTGGAAGCACGTCTGGCTCCAACTCAGCATTCCTGACTAGTCACAGTTTGCCTTACAACTTCATCTTGTGGTTCTAGGCATGGCTGTCCCAGATTTCTAAAAGCAGGCCACCTGGTATCTTTGTTTTGTAATGAGAAAGAAGAATGTAGAGAAAAAGTTTCCCTAGATGGCTGCAATGAGATAATTATCTGAGATCAGGTTGTAACAGGTGCTAAACTGGGCCTCAGGGGCAGAGACGATTTAAGAGGTTGTCAGAAAAGCAAATGATAGGAAATATCTAAGTAGAATTGAGGGCCCACCTTGATATGTTGTGACCAGTCTTGAGTTTGTCACCAAAGCACATGACAAATCATGTAAATATAAAATGATCATCTTAGTCTTAATCAGACCACACACTAGGTTTGGTTTTAGAAAGATTTTGACACCTGCTGAGTCCAAGGTGGAGTTCAATCAGCATCTACAGAGAGCATCCCTCCCGACTTGCCTGGTATTTAGTAGTGAGAACCATAACAAATACTGGTTGTCTCCAGGTCCAAATGGTGAGGCAGGGCCATGTGTAAACTTGAGTCTCCATCTCCAAAGTGGATCTCTGAGCATCTTCCCATTCTAACTGTCCAAGGTTCCATATTTCTTCAGCAGATCCTTTGAGAAACTGGAGGCCCCAGCCTTTCCACAGAGTTGCTTTCTGTATTTGTTTCTCTGGTCAGACTAACAGCGAGCCTGACTCTTATACAGCTGGACAGGCAGCCTCCTCATGACAGTGCCCCAGAGGCATGGTCCTCACACAGGTCTTCCTGGGTTCTCCTGAAGGCCATTGAGAAGGCCCATTCCCAGCATCGCCTCCTGAGGTCAGAGAAGCCTCTCCTGCACGTAGCCAAGCCTTGGCCCTTCAAAGTGCTTAATGGATTAATTAGTTCCTAGTCAAACTGTTGTGAGGATTAATTAGTTAGTTAATCTCCGGGGACTCTCAGCCAATCCTCTCTGTCAATTTTTTATTTATTTATTTACCAACCCAAGCGGTTGCCTTCCTGCTGATCACCCTCTGGGCAGTTTTGCTGGGAGGAGAGGAGACATGGGATTGCAGCCTGTAGAGTCTATGAAGGACATGTCAATGAGGGACATCTCTTATGCACCCCAAAATAACATGTAATGATTTGAAAAGGCATTCTTGGGAATTCGGACACCCCATCCTTCTAGTTGGTAATAAGATCTCTGCGGATGTCACCAGGCCCTCACAGGGGGTGGGGGTTTGCACTGGGTCATTGTGACTCCTGTACTCATGGTCAGCCCCATGAGAAAGCCTTGCTCTCTTGGCACTTTACCTCTGGCCTAGGAATAGCCTATTTTTGCTCAATAGGCTCAGCTTTCCTAGAAACCTGGGCCTATTCATTTTCCATTTGTTACTAGGCCCTCAATTCTGGGAGAAAGCCACCTAGACTGTCAGACCCAACCTCATGTTTATTGAACACAGAGGATGAGCACTGATAAAGGTCCCAGCTCATAACCTGGCCTTCCTTTGTCCAGGCTGTGGCTCCATCTCTCCCTGTGCGTATGCTTCCCAGACACCTGCCCTACTCTTCAGCCCTAGCAATACTCAGGCCAGCAGCTCAGAGTACTCTCAGGATAATAGAACAGGTGCCGAGGCCCCAGAATGCATTTAGGCAGGGAATTTGGTCCTGGGCAGATAGAGTATGGTCTAAAAGAGGGGTTTGAGCTCTGAATAGGCCCATCCCTTTGGCCTTGCAGAATTCTCACCCCATGTGAAGGAGTGTGGCCTGAGAAAAGAAAGCGGGGAATCCTATAGCATGGATCCAAGGCAGGTGGCCCAAGTTGTCCAGTGTAAAGGCAGTATTGGGTGCCATGGTTGGTGTGGCTCAGTTGGTTGGAGCATCATCCTGGGCATCAAAAGGTGGTGGTTCGCTGAAACTGGTTTGGCTCAGTGGATAAAGCATCAGCCTGCGGACTGAAGGGTCCCAGGTTCGATTCTGGTTAAGGGCATGTACCTTGGTTACCTGCACATCTCCAATGGAGGGTGTGCAGGAGGCAGCTGATTGATGTTTCTCTCTCATTGATGTTTCTCTCTCATTGATGTTTCTAACTCTCTATCCCTCTCTCTTCCTCTCTGTAAAAAAACAATAAAATATATATTTTTTAAAAAGGTGGTGGTTCAACACCAGTCAGGGCACATACCTAGGTGGTAGGCTCAATCCTCAATCAGTAATGCTGGGGTCAACTGATTGATGTCTCTCTCTCTCTCTCTCTCTCTCTCTCTCTCTCTCTCTCTCTCTCTCCCTCTCTCTCCTTCTCTTTCTCCAAATAAAATAAGTAAATAAAGGCAGTGTTGGGTGTGGTCAGTGACTGTGGTCAGAGTTCTACAATCACCATCCTTCTAGAAGGACAATGCTGCTAACCATCTATCAGCAGCACAGTTGCTTCTGGTGATATTTCTAGTATTGGAATCAGTTTCCTGGGTTGTGGACACCTTATGCCTAAGGGTAGGACAGGGCCGTTGAGTGGTTAGAGGACAAAATGACATGTTCTGGAGCCAAGACTGGACTCCTGGCCTCATTAGCCCTGGATCCTCACCAAGTGAGCCAGCTGAGACCTAACAGGCCAAGGGCCAGAGTCCCATTTGTAAAAAGCTGAAGCAGATGCACACTGCTTTCCTGCAGAGATGGCCTAGGACCGTGGAGAGATCATGGGGTTTGGAGTCAGGAGACTTGGTTTGTGCCCCAGTTCTGTCATTTGCCTACTGCATGACTTTGGGCAAGTCAACAAACATTTCTAGTGAGGGCCCCCTCAGAGGATTATTGAGCAGACTGAATGAGACATGTTGTGAAACAGATTTGTAAATGTCTAAGACTGGGACAAACAGTGTCTGTGGTTACTAATGTTTTAGAGGAAGAAGGGCAACTTGGTATCAAGGTCTCTGCTAAAAGGGTGCCTGGGGTACAGAAGGCATGGACAAGTGAAACAGTATAGGGGTATAGGCCCTTAAGAGAAGGATCTGGGACAGAGCAGGCAATTAAGGAGTATAAGTGGGGTTTTTACAGAGGGCCCTGGGCAGCCTTGACTTCTCCTGTCTAATGAACTGCCTGCCAATGGGACCGTGTCTGCAATACAAACAATGAATGTCTTGTCCAGACTTTCTGCTGCCCACTGACAGATCTCAGGTTGGATATTTTGACACTGCTCTCACATATAGGAAAGGCAGTAATGCCTCATTGCATCCCACAAATATAAGTGCAATTATAGCCAATAGGAATCAGCTCCAGGGAGGGGAGGCTTGGTGCTGAGAACCTAGGCATGCATGAATGAATCAATAAATAAAGGAAGGAATGAGTGAATGAAGTGAACTAGCATACAATTAGGGGATTGATAAGCTACACGGTATTCTTACAGGTTCTGTTTCAGAGGTCTTCTCATTTCTAGAAATCTTATCAATTTGGGATATTGTTTAATGCAGTTAAGAGCTCATTCTTTTTATGCTGACTCAGTTTTAATCTCTTGGTTTTTAACTAGATTTATAATATTAATCACCACATACTGAATGCCCCATTAAAATAGCCCCATATCCTGCCTTTGTTCTTCTATATGATGATTGATGACTTCTCATTGAAGGATAAGCACGAACCTGGATCCAGACTTCCTATGCCTTGGCTTTTGATCAACTGCCCTTCATCTTGTAGCAGACTTGATATATAATGACAAATTGTCATAGATGGTTAAATAGTCAAAATGGTTATATATATCAAAATGCTAAGCATTCATTAGAAGCATTGTTAGAGTCTAGTCAACCAGCGTGGTGTGTAAGCAACCACCAGTGTGTTGGATGCTAGCTAGCTTTGATTTGTTTTGGGCTTATCTATTTTGGTCTACCTGATACCAGGCAGCTAGGTTAATAGCTTTCTTTCATTCTTTCATTTTGGTGATCTAACATTTGATGTTTACATATTTGTGAGGATCATGGACTTCAACAGTCACTTGTGTTCATCAACCACCCCCCACAGCCTCTAGTCCTGGTGACGGCAACCCCTGGTTCCTGTTCTGCCAGAGCTTAGGTGAGTGGGAATATAGAGCAAAGAATACAGCCAGTCAACAAACACCTCCTTAGA